AACCCCCCCCCCCCCGCCACAAGACATATGAACACAGCATATGAGAGCCCCAGGAGAGAGGGTTTGGGGAGCCTTCCTGGAGGAAATGGTGGATGAGCTGGGCATTGCAGGATGCATAAGAGTTTGATGGGCAGAAGCAGCAGCAAGAGTAAGCTAGCCCTGGCCTGGTGACTCAGTAGGTTGGAGCATCGTCCCATACACCAAACGGTTGTGGATTCAATTCCTGATCAGGGCGCGTACCTAAGTTGTGGGTCCAATCTCCAGTCAGGGCATGTCCGGGAAACAACCAGTCAATGTTTCTCTCTCACATCGAGTTTCTCCCTCTCTCTCTCCACCTTCCTCTCTAAAATCAAGTTAGAAAAAGAAAACAAGAGGTAAGCGAGGGAAGCCTGAAAATGCACAAAAGCCGAAGCCTTGCGAGCGCCCCACCGCCTCCCAAAGGGGGAAGGCCTGGGGCAGCCTCAGCCCCAAGGAGGGCGAGCGGTGCTGGCAACGTGGGCTGGGGCAGGCCAACAAAACACACCTCTCATGCTGAAGAGACGGCCTTCCCAGGAGTCGGGGAGAACCCCAGATGCCTCAGAGCAGGAAACTGCGAGCAGAGAGCGATGGAAAGCGGCAGGGAGGGGTGAGCAAGGCTCCCCTGGGGCTGGCGGACGGTTCCGGGCTTCCCGGGAAGTCCTCGGGGACAAATCCGCTCCTGTCCCCTAAAAAGACCTGTGATTTGCCTTTTTTTCTCCCAAGTGACGGTCTGAATGCCCTTCATGAAGATAAACCAATGAAAGAGTTTCCTGTACAAGAACTTTTTTAAAATACCTTTGGAGTTGATTAAAAATAAATCTATCCACAAACGAATGAACAGGTAGATGGGGCACACTCGTGCACCTGAAGAGCATCGCAGCCGGGAGCAGCAAGGTCCCGAGAGCAGCACACAGGCGCCCCGGGGCCACGTGCTCAGCGAAGCAGCCAGAGCTGAGTCCACAGGAAGGGTCCAGAGTGGCAACCAAGATGGGAAGCCCACGGGGCTGCCTGGACCTGCCGGAGGGAGGGTGAGTGCTAATGGGCACGGAGTTTACTTGGGCGGGAACAGAGAATGTTCTGGAATTACAAACTAGTGACGACCACACAACTTTGTGACTAGACTAAAAACCACCACATTGCACACTTAAAAAGGATGAGCATTAGAGTATGTGAGTTACATCTCATCATCATAAGCGACAAGCGCTCCCTTTCCAATTGTTCTCAGCACCACGATGCAACTCAACTCTCCAGGGCGCAGCAGAGAACATCCAGCTACGCCTGTGGCAGTAGTCACCAAAGAAAGACATTTCCAAAGAATGGGGAACTTGCTTTCTCAGGTCTCTTATTCCCAAACAAACAAAAAAGATATTATCACCCCCTTGCCAAAAGCCAGGCTCATTTGGCAAAATTGCGGCCTGAAATGACTGTTTCTTCAAACAAAGCTATCTCAGAGACAAAGCAGCAGATGCAGGAGCCATCAGGCACCTGGGCTGAGTGAGGCCAGGAAGGAGAAAGGAATAAGGGGCCCAGGGGCCACGCACACCCACCTCCCCCAAGGGCACAGGTCAAGGACTCAATGATCTTGCCTTTGGGGCTCAGTCCCTGGGACCTCCTGAGCCCCAGACATTCGTTGGTCACATGGCAGGAAGCCAGGGAGTGGGGAGGGAAGGGGGCGGGGGGGCTGGCAGCCCTGGCCCCACTGCAGCTCTGCAAGCACCACCTGGCTCACCCAGGGCTGGGCGGGCCCCTGAGCCTGAGCAGGAAGCCTGGGGCCCAGGGACCGGCCCAGCTCACCAGCAAGCAGGCCTCTAAGAAGCGCTTCTCAATGCCTCAGATGAGTCGAATCGATAGTGACTACAAGATGAGTCTCCCCAGATGGTCCCCACATCCTGCCGCCTGCCTCTCTCCCCTCCCCACCTCCACTGGCCCCCTTCAAAGCACCCAACTGAGCCCAGCCTGGTGTCATGGTCCCAAAAGTATGTCACACAAGCGAATGACAACGGGATACATTTGCTTGTTTGCTCGCGGCAATACTCTTGTGCACACCATGCAACACAGTGAAGAACCAAGGCCACACGGAGCCGGGGACACCTGTCCCCGCGCCCCCCCACTCCCCCCTCCACCATGCTCTCGGAGGCGGACAGCCGCAGCACGTCTGCCCAGCTGTGTCATAGCGATGCTTCAGCCCTCCTCTGTCCCTGCCAGGCCTCAAGCCATCCGACCGCGTGCCCTGCACAGTGCTGGGCACAGAATCAGCCTTCAGTCAGCATCTGCTGAGTGGCCCTCACTCCCTGAGCTGCCCCAGACCTTCACTGAGACACCCCGACACCAGGTGCCACCCGCCTGATACTTGAGCCTCAGAGGCACCCACTCAGCCTCAAGCCAAGTGCGGGGCTTCTGGAGGGGCAGGCAGTGGGGCCCAGCCCCTCCAGGCCCGGGAGCGATGCTCTGGTCTTCATTTAAGCCTGTCCTATCTTTGGGAGCAGCTCCCTCCTCCACACACTGTCCTCGTAGTCAAAGAGGGGTGCAATCACAGCCCCAAAGAAAGGGGCCCTCCACAGCTGTGCGGCCGACTCGCTGGCTGTCATCATTCCGTGGGGACAGCACCGCACCCTGAAGTGCGATTTGCACAGGCAACCCTCCGCCTCTGTCCTCAAGGCCACGTAAGCCATGTTTTCATTAAAAGCTGATGCCTCCGCCAGGTTTTGATTATCCGTGGTAATGGGGGTCAAGGATCAGTTGAGTAATGGAAATGGAAACTTTCCTTCCACCCAGAGTTTCCGCGGCCTCCTCCAGCCGGAGAGGCGCAGGGGCCGCCGAAGGGGCTGGGCTGGACGTCCCCCCAGGCCCCATCCAGGCCTGGCCAGCACTTTGTCACTGGCTTTCTAGGGGACGAGGAGCAACACCCTTCCCTTCGGGGGGCTGGGAAGAGGAGGGGCTGGGCGGACACAACGCGCCTTGCTCCTCACCACCGCGCTGCGTGTCAGCGTCATTGATAGTTACAGCGTATTTCTTCAAATTGGCCCACTCTTATCACTTGATTTGCCCCAGCTGTAATCACAGTTGATGTGCTCATAATGTATTTATATAATAGCCATTAAAATAACTCCCTAAGCACTAACTTTTTAAAAGGTTATGAAATGATACCCCGGGCCCCAGCTTGGATCCTAGTGCAGAAAGACAACATTCACAAAACACTGTTTGAATCCAAAGATGTCCAAAGCCCATCACAGTCAGGCCAGTGTCCTCCGTGCGAGCCCCCAGCGCTCAGGCTCGAGGGAGGGAAGGCCGAGGGCAGGGCAGCTCCCTGCGCTCACTCCGCAGCTTTCCTAAATGCCTACAAGGACAAAGACCAAAGAGGAGGAGAAGGAGGAGGAGGAGGAGGAGGAGGAGGGAAGAGGAGAAGGGGGGAGGAGAAGGGGGAGGGAGGTGGGGGCGAGACGGAGGAGCGGGGGCTCAGCCCTGTGAAGGCTCCTGGTCCAGGGACAGGCTGGCTGGCAGGTGCGCCTGGCCCAGTGCGTGCGCCAAGCGAGGAAGCAGAAAGATGGCCGTTGCTGTTGAAACCGGTGG